CCCCCCCCCCCCCCCCCCAGTATGAAAGACCGACTGAGTCTGTGGCTTTCATCCCTGACCTAAAATCAATGAGCCAGGATGTATGAGAGGCTCCTGCTCTCAACCTACCAATCTCCTGCCAGTTTGCCAGGTAAAACTGTCTTACAAGAAAAACAATAAAAATAAGAGACAGAAGGTTAGGCTAACCCATCTTACTTCCTAAAACGATTTTAACAAAATCTAATTAATCCAATTCACTAAAGCAAGAAGAAATTCTACATGTGAAAATGATGTTCCACAAAATAGATGTAAAAGTTTGCCTCAGTGACAAAACATATTTCTGACTTTTCAGTCTCTTTGAAAGTTTAAACTACACTTTAAAAAATTATGCTTCTGTGGAACAATGTTGGAGTAACACATCATTTGTTTTGAATTGCTCTTAAAAGTTAAAGGAGGGTTGAGCTCTCTTCAAGAAAATGTTGACAAGACRTCATGATAACGATGCAGTGACATGCTGGGCAATATGCAAAATATGGGAAAAAACTATAAGTATTCTCCTACTTTGAGAAGTTATGTCAGAGGTTTGCACTTTAACTTAACGGATCTAAAGTAACACATCCATACTAATTAGTCTGAAAGAAAAAATCCACTATTGATTTTGGACAATTTTTGATTGCAAAAACTGTTATTACAACAAATTCCAGAAGCCATCTTATTGATCGAAATGCATCACAAGGAAAACCAGCCAAGGCAAACTCCTTCACTAAGAATTGAGCAGATAGTACCGACTTTGCTTACCAAACACAACAAATAAAATCTAGATTTCCCAGTTGTGTAGAAACTTTCATAGCTAGTGATTGGATGTTGTAGAAAATGCTGAGTTCTACCACCTGTTAAAGACCTTTGCCACAATATAAGCTTCAACCATAAAGTTCGATCAACAGAGACAACTAGACCTGCACTCAAGAGCAAAGCCTCGTCAGAAATCTCTGTGAGTGAAGCTTGTTCTGTTTCATCGTTTTAATAAAGACCAACTTGTATCTACAGTACGAGGATGAATAATTGGGTTGTTGGTAGTAAAGAGATTGAACTTTTCATCTCAAATTAAAGTTGTCAGATTTTTGAAAAGTGTTTGTAAATTTAAAGGATATTTAAACTGATGTGGCAGTCTGTTGATGAAAATGGGAATTTAAATGTAAATCTGAAAAAGTAATTAGTTTGGATCGACTTGGAATCATAATTCAAATGTGTGGATTTATAGCACTGACAGTTGAATTATAATTACAAAAAAAAAAAAAGGAAAAAAAAAGAACTGTATACCAGATCCTTGAAATAAGATTGAACCAAATGCAGAAACACGGCTTTCCTGGTCTTCATTAATCTATCCAAGTTCTGTGTGCTGAATTAGGAATGGCTGGTGTAATTGCATAACACATGACTATGGCCCCTGGGGTTAGATTTTCCATCTTGCACAAAGTGGAGACAAGGAAATAGGAAATGCTTCTACAATTGGTTGTAATTGTGACTGGCGGCGCCTAGAATTGTGCTCCACCTGACACTTGAGGTAGTCTGGYGAAGTGCAGTTTGGCCTAAAGGATGAAAAAGAATGACATGCTGGGTTTAAATGAACTCCTTTTTGACGTTAGCAAAGATTCTTGCGTGTCTTTGACAGACTCACTCTGGTACATGCTGCTCGTTTAAGGATGACAGGAGGTTAATCAAGCTTTAAAGAATGAGATTACAACAGACATGACAAGAAGGATTGAATAGATTTGGTACACTGACTGAAAAACTAGCAAAGAAATCCTTTTTTACACCAGTAAATACTTGAAATAAATTGCTGTCAATCCCCCAATATGCTAAATAAAAATGCACAGACGTCAAGCCTGCTGTACTAACCTGAGGAATCCAGATTTATTATTATTAAAATACTGAAATAAGGTAAAATAGCTTCTTCAATTATAGACATATGCACATCATGCAAATTAAAGTCTGCTTAAAATGACTTATGCAATACAAATAACATTCAATATTTATCTTTTAAAAGTTTTTTTACTCAAAAAAAAAAACAGAATACTTTTCTCTTAACAACAGATGAAACCAGTCTCCCTTATGTTCTATACCAACTGAAATAGTTTCCATATTTCATTCACAGGAAACTAAATAAATAAATAAATCCAGGGAGTCTGCATGTCAAAAGGATTTTCTTCTCTCATCACCTCAGACTAGAGAACGCATGCAGCTCTTTATCAAACCTGTACTGTGCTCTGTATCAGTAAACAGGGAGCTGTCAGTGCATAATACCTGCTGGTGGCTTTGTACTGATGGAAAATAAATAAATRAAACTGTGTTCACTTAAGAGTTGGATGCACAGGAAATACAATCATTGCAACCATTTTTGAGGTCTTGATTAAAAAGGGGGGAAATGGAATGTTAAATAAAATATCAACAGGAACGTAGCAAAGACATGAGTTTTAGTAATACTTGAATCCAATAACGAAAAAAGTATTCTCAAAGGTGGCCAAATAGTATTATTACATTTTTTTTACTCATTTTGGTGAGCCCCAATATGGCTGAACAATTTTACCATTACTAATAACTATGCCTAAGGTGCATTACACTCTACGTACAATGTTCAGAGTCAGCAACATCTTTATGGCCAAAGAGCAGTTCTATTGTGGGCTCCATACAAACAGAATTACAAGTAAAGGAACATTTCTCCCTTATTTACAACAGCCATTTTCACAGTGCACTGATGGTCGACAGGCAAGTTTTTCACAGAAGTTTCACTAGAACTTCCCTGTTTAGCTCATAGTTATTTAATTGGAATTATTTTTTTTAAGAAATGTCAAAGCTTTATCACAAAATGACTTTAAATAGGTCTTCTTAGTCATACAAATGATAACATATAGTCAAATATAATCCAAACAAGCATTACAGTTAGACCTTAAATGTTGAAGAAGGAACAACAAACTGAAGATTTCATGCTGCTTCTTATTTTTTTGCTGCTGTATATTTTAGAGTGCTTAAATTTAACTATTGCATTTGGAATAAACATACAAACAGAAGTCCTTACCAGAAAAGCTTCAGCTAAACAAAACCTGTACCAAAAAAAACTTAGTTTGACCTATCCAATTAAAATGAACCTAAATCACCTTCAGTAAGCATTTAATTCAGTCTTAAAAATATTTGACTAAACACAGATTTGTAAAGTTACAACAAAATTATTTCTTTTTGAAAGTAAGCCCTAAACTTGTGTAGAATATTTCTTTATCTACAAATTTTTTGTCCATTCAACAAGTTTTCTTTCCCCAAGTGTAGCTGGTATTCCTCCCCATCAGTCTACCTAATTATCCTTCCTCCAGTGGTGTCCTCTCCAGGACCCATCAAGTCTACCAGAGGAYTTGTCACTTCAAGCCAAGGAAGGTCTTATATAAACTGCCAAAGCCTTTGCCAGCCATCACTGGTTGTGGAATACAGGATACAACGGTGCTAGTCTTGGGGTTTGTGAGTAAACACTACAATCTTCACTCTGCATTTTCATTGTGGACAGCTGAAGAAAAGGCTGCTCACCTCCCAGCTAAAACCTTTAATATCAGAGCTGCTTCTCATCACAGTGACAACAGTTCACCAGGTTTAGGGTTTTATATTCAGATGTCGATCTGGTCCAACCTTGATCATTAATTCTATTTTAAATATTTTAATTAACTAAATATCTTAACCTGATACGTGCTGATCTAAACTGGTAACAAAATTAAGACTTTTTACTTTTACACTCTTTAAAAAGACAGTTCTCACAGCATCACAGTCTTAATACGAAAACTTGAACATGCATAATAGAACACACTCACATRTAACAGCCTGCAAAGTGTGCATGTTGCATTTTTTTTTCCAAAACATACGACATGTGCTGTTGATCATCTACTCCACACATGTGAAAAGCGTAAATGAACACAAACAGTGATTGGCTAAAGCAGTGAGGTTCACGAAAATGCAAAAATTAATAATTAAAAAAAATACTACAAGACAGGACATGGACTCATTCTTTAAAAATGCAAACATAGAACAAATAAATTAGATGACTACTGTAGCTGCTCCACAATACAGAGTATGTGCTGAGAAAATCTGTTCCACTCTTGTAAGAACTAAACATTTAACACAATTTTACATTAAGAACCTGGGAATAAAGTCAAAGACAGCTTATATAATTTTAATATTGCTGTTATTCAATATATAGATTTTGAATTGTAAGATTTATAACCTCATCACTCTGGAGTCAAAGCAGTTTTGCCGGTTATGGACTTTCACTGTTTTCTCACAGCATTATTGCCTGCTGCCAAAAGGTAGAAGGCAGAGAACAATGTTTTTACCTGCGTTTGTAAAAAAAATCATATGATGTAAATCTATAATTTTGTAACTGTTGAAGCTAACCAATTTCAAGATGACTGCCACAGCTAATCAACATTAGCACTGACAACATAAATAGCTAAAACTTATATTATTATACTATCATTCATAACTCATACAGAGGGTGTGGCTTTTCAAACTATATTCATTGCAGGTCCAGCAGTTCTTAGCAAGTCAATCTTTATATGCTCAATGATATTGTGATGATGATAAATCTTCAATATACTGGACACTCTTGATGTTAACAATTCACTGGGAAGTAGTTTCAGTGTATTGTTGTTAGACTCCTCAGTTCTTGATGATTCAGTTTCATATTTGCATAAAAATGTACTGATATTTAAAACATAACACCTTTAAAATCACGATTTTAAGTGAAATTTCATAACTCAGCACATGATTCCACATCGTCTTTGACCAGCTCAGCTTGAGTGTTCTGACAGAAAAAAAAATTGTGTTTTATGCAGCCAGAAGCAGTGCAGTATAAACCAACAAGGTGTTAGGGTAAATGTTAGATACAAAATAAAACAAAACCCAAAACACACCTAAAGTTCTGTTACCATAGTTAGCACCCGGCCACCGAGAGGATGGACTGGAAGGGCTTTGATCACCTGCAACAAAGTTGGTGACGAAACAAGAAAAGATAACAAGGAAGGTAAACAAGAAGAAGAGAAAAATGTATCAGAAACGACACATTTTAGATATTGGCAGAAATGCTCCCAGACAAAATAGAAATAGCAAAACCACAGTGACCAAGGTCTCACAGTAAAACAACAGGTTTGCCTTTGTTCAATACAGATTAATATTATAGTTATTAAACCATGAAGGAAGCGTGAGTGTTGTTATAGAGCTGAAAGATTTGTTTTTTTCAGTCATGGTTAATAGAAAAAAATTGTGAATGTTCAAATACCATCTCAAGTATCAGAGCTGGTATATGTTGTATTAATAGTTTATGGTCACTGAGGATGATTTAACTCATGATCTCTGTTGTTTTACGTGAATTAGAACAATTGTTGTTGATTAAAATCAGTTAGAAATTCTCTAAACTGCAGTAAAATAATATAACAATAACGTTAAAATAAAAAAAAATGTCTTACCCTTAAAAAATATACATCATTGTAAATAAACTGATGTAAAGCATAACATTAGGTGGCTCAGAATAATTAGGAAAGTTATAAAACATCTGCATAAAATTACTTRGACCTGAACAAAACTAGAATAATATGACATAAAATGGATAATTCACCAGCGTGAGACTTGTATAACTAAATAGTACTACAACTTTGCTACTTTAAAAAAAGTAGCATATTTGTCCTCTACATTAACTATCATTGCTAACAGATCTGGAAAAAAGTAAAAGAAGATCAAAATCAAATATAAAYTTTAAGTGCATTCAATACTTTTGTTGTTGATTTTCTAATGAGAATACATTTTTTGGCATAATCTAGGCCATAATAATGAGACAAAAACGTACTAGCTTGACAGTACAGATGTATGAAACGAGGCGTTAAATATCACATTAAGCCCTAACTACACATTCAATACTTCCTGCACCGTTTCAAATTAAAACCCCTTCTGAAGTTAATTGGATAGAAACCCTCCTATTGTTAACAGCGCWTTTGTTTAATCCATCCACCTAGTGTTTAGCATGTCTGTCCTATGTCAGAAAAAAAAAAAACCTGTATTCATTGATCACTGATGTTGTTTCACCTCATTTTCATATATTTTGCCTGCCAGAACAGAGATGGCAGCACCTGTGGCTCATATGCAGACCTCTGGCCTGCATGTCACTGACCCTCCTGAGAATGACCTCATGGCAGAGGGAAACAATTCAAGCACAAGATTATACAAATCGACTTTATGCACATATTTCTTTTGCCGTTGTTTAGGATATTTACGTAAATTATTCTGTGTATTTCTATGAAAAGAAATATCACTTTTAATAACTGAGTCTGATAGAAAAGAATACAAAAAAATCAGCTCTGGCACATAAACACGTTGTTTTTAGGGCTTACCATTGCGTGGTGTCCGTTTTCGCCGATCACGGAAAGCTGCTCCAGACTGTAGGGCTTCCATTAAACTATCCATCACACCAGTTTCATCTCCCTCTACAATAAAACAAACAAACACCACCGTTAATATATGACAAGCACAACTAGTTTCATAAAGTACAACAGATATTTATTTTTACAGATTATTTTGTGTATGAGTCAGCATTCAGCCTTTTGTTTTCCCTTTTCTCCTTGTTTATCTTTTTCTAGTTCCATTTATGTTCTGGTCTTAGAAGTTGTGCTCAAGAAAAGTGTTTTGACTCTGAATACGTCAAACAGTAATTGCAACTGTGTGACAGTTGATGGAGAGACCTGCCACTCAGGTTTGTCCTTTTTTTTTTTTTGTAAACAGCCGGGACAGAGTAAAATACACTTAGCTTAGGTTAGAGTTTAGCTGAGAGGAGCCTCAGGATAAAAGCATCCAGTGATGGTCATTGACAGATATTCTTTCTGTGGCTAACGCAGGGGAGCTAAGTGCTCTTTACAAAGATTTAGTGTGGAGCCGCTCAATACCCGGGYGCTCTATCATTGTTCAGTCAATGACACAGGGGCCGGCCTCCGAAAAACACTCCCCTTGCCCACCATTCCATCTGTCCCGTAGATCCGTGAAACCAGAGAAGTGGAGGCAGTAGCCAGTGAAAATGCTGTAAAGCCAACAGCATGTCTAGCTGTTGTCACACTGTGCAGATACAGCACAGCTGAGTGGTAACAGAGTTCGAAAATAAGCTTAGCTTCCATATCTGGGTCATCTATCTTTACGCCCTAATACTAATGAGTTAGAGGGGCAACCTTTTCATCATTCTGGTCCAGAACAGACATTATTTTACACTGGGATCATTAGGATGAGTTATTGAGGACTTGGAGATTTGGCAATCAATTCTTTTGTATGTATGAGTAAACTAACTATTGCCCATTGTTTACACTTTTGTTGTTTCAATGTGTTCACAGCTGAAGGGAAACTTTCAAAAATAAATGGAGACAACCGAGGAAAACACAGCACTTTCCCAAGAACTGGGGCGATTCATCCTTTTTCTCTGCTGCTTGCTCAAAGTGACAACGGCGAGGCAAATTGAATCTCTGAATAAAACACCTTGACATGGAATAGTACAAGATTAATTTAATGAAATGGCACCCGTTTTGCCATTACCACAGAAAGTTAAGTCTCGACGTGTTGTTCCCTTTTCCTCCAGCAACAAACCACGGAGCCTGCAATCACTCACACAAGTTAAAACAGTGCAACTAAGAATAGAAAYATGTCTTATGCAAATTTTAAAAAGCAACTCCTAAAACACACTCACTAATTTTACTCTCTATCTCATTCTTTTCCTTTCTTCCTCAAGTCCTTCCCAAGGGCTACTTTGAAATCAAAGAAGCTGTGTGCTGAGCTTAAAAGCAATCCCGATTAAATCAAGCTTAATTAGACCAGCTTTATCTGAACAAAACCAGAGCTAAGCAAAGTAGTCCTTATCTTAAATTGCAGCACTACACCTCAGATAGTAAGCTCACTGGTTTAAAAATGAAGAGCATGGGTTTCATCTCCTGTGGACTCGAACAACAGTACGGTGTACAACTTGCACTTCTGTAACTATATCAACTCCCCTGATCTTTAGACACTACACCATATGTAGGCTAGCTACGACAGATTGTGAGTCAGACACAAGACAGAAACATGTTAAGTGGCAGATAAACATTTGTCTGCAATAACTATGCTACAGGAAACTTTTTGACAGCTCTTTCTTCACATAGACCTGAGCATCACAAGGGGCAACTGACACTTTGATCAATTTGTCCTACTTCTGGCTTAACTCTAGCACAATTCATCATTTGTAATGGCCAGGACTTGGGAGCCCTGGCAGGCTGGGGTTCAGGGGGAGAACAGAAAACAAAAAGAACCACAATGACTAAAATTGGAAGCAAACTCCCCAGTTTCTTAAAATATCTCAATTAACTATGTTCCAAGTTGTCTTCTGAAGCTTAAACTAAAGTCTGACACTTTTGTAAGTAAGCATGTATTCACAAAACCATACAGCATAATTATTTATACATAAAATGCATAAATATATAAAAACATATATTCTTTGACTACACTTAGTTTAATATTCCTCAAAGCAAACTTTCATAATTATTGTAACATTGCCCTCTTTAGAAGACATTTATGC